CAGTTTACATTGTTACTCTTGGGTCTCTCCCCAAAAAGACACCAGAAGACAGGCACATTTTGTTGATATTTAGTGCTGCACTGGCTAAACCAAACTTGTCCAGTCTTACCCACCAAGCCCCTGGTTCAGACTACAACTATAAGTTGAAATTGACATGCAGCAGAATAAGTCAACCAACAGAAAATGTGCAGGTATCACTCACCAACTTCCTTTCTGTAATCTTTCTTGTTTTTTGTCATACTGTCCAATTTCAGACAGACAACAAGTGACATGCAAGTGACCTCCTTCCCACCACGCTGACAGTTCTTATTAAAGATGTTGATCTTCTCTGGTTCAAAAGTCATTTTGGCTTCAATTCGCACTACGCCACGGGACCTGAACAGACAGAACACCGTGTGTCCACATTTTATACTTGGAGGAAGTTCGTCATAACTCTTTATTTAAAGGCTATTTAAACACCAAAAATTAATGGAATAAATTATGGACATGAAAAAAGTCCAGAAAGGCATACCACATCTTTGGAAAAAGATTCAATGATGAAACGACATAAGAACACCAACGAATGAAAACATTTAATGTCCCTGGCCAAGAGAGCAGCTGAAGAGATAGCTGGTGACTCCAGAACTGAATGTCTTTGTCTGCAGGGGAAGGAGACTTGACACTTTTTGATAACCCTTTCCACAGTTCTAAACTTTTTCCTATATTGCCTCACTTCTCAGAACAGTCACAAATGAGTTTGCATCTTTAAAGTGATTAATCAAAAACTACCAACACTGTGAGACCAACAATCTCCAATCTTACCAGATGATGACGGCAGCTCCTAGAGCTCCCGCAGCCAAATCAACAAGCCCATCTCCACTGACATCCAGAACTCCATGAAGACTTTGACCAAAGTACAGCAGGCCTGCAGAAAAACCAGCTCCAGAAATACGCTGGAAGAGCAAAATGAAGATAAATCATTTATTACACATGATTGACACAGAGCTCTTATGTCTGACAGAAAATATTAGTTTCTTGATGTGCATCTAAAGACATACAATATATGAAAAAATATTTCTTAAGCTAATTACCTGTTTGTAGTATGGTCCAATCATCTTGTTCTGGCTATGAAATATATAAATAGCTCCCTGATGGTCATCTTCTAGAGGCGCTCCCACCACAAGCTCCTTATAGCCATCTCCATTCATGTCAGCTATTTGTGCCAGCGCTGAACCCAGACGAGAGTTTTGAGAATGGTGGGGAACTTCAAGTACTCCATGAAATGTGAAGAATGCCTAAAAACATGACAGTATGTCAGCTTTAACTGATGAAACTTTATATGTATCAGAAGGAAGCAAACATTACATGATTGCTTGTAATGCTGTATTAACGTTCAGTCATTTGTTTTTGCTGTCTGTGTTAAAAGTCTTATTCCTGAAAAACTAGTTAACTGGTGACTATCTATAAACCACATCTTTCACCAATGTAATCATTAACAGTTAGCATTAAGCTACTTAAACAGAATTTTCTGAACAAGTTCTTAGGATGAGACCTGTACCTCAGATGATAGAGAGTATATGTAAACCCTTCCTCTTTCCCAGCCTTGATTGTAATACATGGGTGCTGCAACCAAAAGAAAGTCAGTGTAGCCATTTCCATCAATGTCCATTGATAACAGCCCACTGCCAAAATATGAACCAATCTGTTGATAGAACACAAAAGAAATAAATTAAATTAAGGAATTGGAGTTTAGAATTTGCAACATATCAGCAACATATTAATTTAGGGACTGCTATCAATATATGTCTTTATTACTTGTATTTGTTTCACATATTGGTTTGAGTATTTCATTATTAAAAGTTCACAGAGTAAAGTTTGCACTTGATATTTAATGCTGTAAATTTAATACTAGAACCTGAACCGATTGTAATAGATATATTTTAGCAACTTGTTCATTTTTTTAGTACATATATTTCCTTGTTCTTGTTTTGCTAGGTCTGTTTGGTTGAGTGGGTAGCTAATAAAAGGCAGCCAGTCCAGATGATTGTGGGTTTCTGCTGAGACCACATGTGAAAAACTGAACTGAGGTTCTTTTGGATATCTAGTCACTTATTCAGAGTTTGGAATAGACACCTAGATTGTGTATAAAATGTCTCTCACAAAGCATATTTAATTGTGGGTATGAGGAGCCACAGAGCTAAATAACACCCAATGCTAATAATCTCTTTATTTCTATTTTAAGCTGTCATCTGGTGAGTGCACCTACATTTTTGAGTGGACATCTTAGAAATCTAGATCCATCATCCAAGCAATGACTGCATAATGGATTAGGAAACAACTGACAAAAGAAAAGTGATTTCACATTGAGCAAATTAATGAAATATTACTTTATCAAAATAATTTTTTTTTCTTCATATCTGGTTGTGAACTGGTTGTATATCATTTTGTCATTAAATTAGTATTTATCTAATCTTAAGACTTTGAAGTATTTCTACCTGTGTGATTTTTGTATTTAATTGATGAAGAGATTTTTGGTCAATGTGAGTATCATGGCCATCTAGATTAAATGATGTGTGTGTGCAGAAGACCTGCTGTCCCAGAAGTGCCTGCAGGATAGTGAGGTTTCCATTGTTCTTCAGGGTGAATATAATGACCTTGCCAGTGTGGTTGAACCTTGGCGCTCCAGCTATGTAAAGCTGAGAGCCACGAGATGAAATAACGGCATCCACCGAATAGCCTGAAATAAAAGTTGAAAACAGTTTTCTTTAATTCTCCACACCCTATGTTTGAATAGAATTCCAACACAACCTCTTCTGAAATCCAATATGTTGAAAACGTTAAAGGTTAATGAAATTCCACTGAAACAAGCAGTTGTACCTTATAAATAATTTAAGTAGCTCAATACGTTAAATATTACAAGGTATTTCCCAAAATGCAACTAAGCATGCAATCTGTAATCACGATTAGAAAGTCAAAATTATTAGATCACATAGTTTACAAGCTTCTTTAATCCTCAGTAGACTTGCCTTTTACTGTTATGAACTGCTGCAAATATGGTACACAGTAGTACACTACTATAAATACTTGCCTTACTCACTTTATTTAGAAATCTTTGTAATTTGTTTAGTGCAAAAACCTGAACAGCATAGAAGTTTGCCCATAAACTTGACAAAGAGCAATTAAGAATAATTAAAATTACCCAAATAAGCAGCGTGGTTCTTCAGAGCTTCTGGAAACTCATCTTTGTAAGAGGATTTTTGTGAAACAACTTTACCACGTTTAGTTTCCTTTAGCACTGCACCATTCCAGTCATAGGCACCCACTGCCCCAAGCAGAACACCATCCTAAAATTTTTTTACATTTTTACACAGGATAACATGCAACACAAACGTAAATAAATCTAAAATAAAAAACAAATATACAACATATTCTCACAATAATTTTGCCCTTAAAACTGCACTATGCAACTTTTATAGAAGTTTTTTTTTTTTTTTACATGTTTATTAAAACAATCACTATTCTATGACAGCATGGTATGAGATAGATAATCTGTGCAAAAAAAAATCAATCTCTACTCTTTTCTTCTAATGCTAATGTAACCCAGGTTAACATAATCTTCACTAAATGTAAGCCTTTTCAGAAAAATAGCTATAAAATAGATAAATATGACATAAATAAATAAATAGGAGAATAAATAGAGAATAAACAGGTCTTAAACCGTTAGAAATATACAAAGTAATAATTACAGACATCATAAGTGTTGTATGTAAAAACATATTATGATATTTAATTTGGTTAAAAATCTGTATAAAAAACAGTTTTATTTTGTCAGCAGCTAAAACGGTCAAGCGTGAGATAAATCTCTTATTCTGAAGGGTCACATTGATGTGTAACCCATGTGACTAGCTCCAGCTACGTTCTCTGGCGCCAGAAGAAGCAGAGAGCGCAAAGAAGAAGCAAAGAATAAAGAAGCTTAGAGAGTTGTGCTGTGAACGAAAAAAAGATAAGAGAAATCGACGATTAAAAACATTTTTTCCATTTTTGGAGAAGGAGCGTTCTGCATTTTTCAACCTGACTGCGTTTGGGATTGTGTTATATGTTACAGAACTGGACTTGGTGAGTTAAAAAGTGTATTTTATTTTCTAAGAAGAACGTATTTGTAAAGTATTTTTATTTCGTTGAAACGGAAATCTAAAGTAGCGCATTTATGTTGTTTTATGTTCAAAAACTGTGGAAGTAACGGATGAGCTGAGGTGGGTGAAGCATGTTCCCGCCCAGCCACCCGATTTGGACGAAGCTGAAGTTGGTTTCCAATTCTAGCTTCCAATAGCTAAAGGGCGATTCCACTTAATTTTTCACTACTTTCCGCATCTTTAATCAACTCTACTTTAAAAACTAATACACCTAGACTCTTCAAACCTGCACTAGATTATTCTGCTCTAATAGCAGAATATTTAAAACCATGTTTGGGATTTGTGAAACCTTTTTCTGATTTGTGAAAACTCAATAAAGTTCGATTTTCAACATTTTTGGCACCTCTTTCATTACTACAACTGCTCTAATTAAAAAACTACAACTCATAGACTCTTCAAACCTGGACTAGATTATTCTGCTCTAATAGCAGAATATTTATAACCATGTTTGGGATTTGTGAAACTTCAATAAATGTTGATTTTACCACTTTTTTGCATCTGGATCACACTAGAACTGGTCTAATTCCAAATCTACAACACCTAGACACTTCAAACCTGGATCAGATTATTTTCAATTAATAGCAGAATATGTAAAACCATGTTTGGGATTTGTGAAGCTTTTTTCTGATTTGTGAAACTTCCAAAAAGTGTGATATCACCACTTTTTTTTAATCTCGGTCACACAAGAACTGCTCTAATTGGGGCCTGCCCATAGCAATGCATAGGGAGTCAGTCACTGCCTCCATGCATTGCATGGCAGGCACCTATTGTCTTACAATAGGTGCCTGCTAAAAGCAAATTAGCCAAATTAGCGAGTATATTACTTTATTCAGTACCAAGCAGAATTAAATGAACTTTTGTTATGCTTTGTTGGTTATTAAACCAGGCCTTTTTGAGGTTCTGCTGGAAATTGGACCGGGAAATTCCGAGTCGATTGCTGAATTGGATTCTGCTAGTGAGAAACAAGATGGCAAGCCGTAACCCAGGAGCCCTTTAACCGTCTAGCAGGAGCTACGCCCTCTGCTGGACATTGCAAATCATCCACACTGGTATGACCTGCCCATGTTTTCCTGCTGAAATAGCGCTGGATTCAGAGAAACGGGATTAACCCTTCAGGATCATCAGAGAGAAAAGACATCGATTTGAAGCACAAGTTATTCGGTCTTTTGCTGGATTGTGTCTGTTGTATTTTATTGTTCTTTTTCCTTTGAACCACATTCAATGTCTGTTACAGTGTGTGGAATGTAAAATTGTCTGTTGGGTTAAAATAGAAATAAGAAATGGTTAAAACGGGAAATTAAAAACTTTAACTTCTGAAAAGAACACTAAACTAAAAATAGATTTAAAAGATTAAAACAAACTGAATTAAATAGATTAACAGTATCAACTTGAACTTAAATAGAACTATAACATAGGTTTAAATAAATAGTATCCTTTAATACCTAACAATAGGTTTAAATTTAAAAAATGGGATTATACAAAATATTTGGAAAGAAACAGGGAAACTATTTTGTATTGAATTTGTGTCATTGTATGTAAACTGTATAATTGTTGTTTATTTTCTTTTTCTACAAAAATAATTAGCCGGCAGTTTAAACTTATTTTCTGGTCTGTGGTCATTGATACACTTGCACTTCTCCCTACCCCCACAGCCGAACCTAGCACTGGTCCTGTTATGAGTCTAGTACTGTAATCACATCGTAAGTGTTACTTTAACTTTAGAAAAATATAACTCGATCAGAAATAACCAATCAGAAACAGGAGGAGGGTCTTAGGTTTTAGCGCTGTCAAGTATGCTTATGTACACATTGCTTACACTTTGCTTGCTCTGTTCTGTGGTTCGCTACAGCTTCTTCCAGAAAGAAGGCTAACTAGTCGCCGCTAACAGTGAGGCGGATAAACTGTTTTCCTGGAACAGTGGGTTGCTTCTCAGAACTGGGAAGTGTAAATGTGTGTTCTGTGTTTATGAGCTGAATCCATATTGATATCAGTCATATACAGTAGAGGCTGCTGTGCCTAACAAGCTGTGCCTTTATTCAAACCAAATATTTTATTATTTCTCTTTAGTTTTCAGTTTGTATTTGATGAACCCCACCAGTAGGTCTCAGGGATTGCCACATCATGCCAGTTTTGAAAAACACAAATATTCTAGAATCAGTTTTTTCTGTTAGTTCTCATTACAGTCCAGTTGGTAGCAGTAATGCACCTTTATAATTTGTCTGCTAACCTCCATAAAACACCAGAAATAAACAAGCTTAAAGACTAAAAAGGCATGGACTGTAGTCCATGGCTACAGTCCATGGCTACAGTCCTCTCTCCCTTAGAGAGAAGTCTACGGGACCTCTCTCTAAGTGAGAGGTCCCTTAGAGAGAGGCCATGCAGTGGGTTGACCAACTGCTTCATGGTGAGTCCAGAAAGCTCCTCCTTTTCTGGGAGTTTCTTTAAGATGGACACATGATGCTCCTCAGTTAACAGGGGCTTTCTCTGCTAATGAAATGGATGGCAAAAATACATTTTGCATGCAGTTTCTGATTCAGTGTCATAAAAGTACTTTTAACAGAAGAAAAAAGGCTCGTATATCTGTTTTTTCATCTTGTGTTTCCTAGCAACATGGATGACACACGATGCTGCATGACCCCAGTCATTGATCTACTTTTTAATTTTATTTTGATGTCAAGTTGTAGATTGCAGACAATTTCTTTTCAGCTAAATATAGCTAACTTCATATCGTTTTTTGGGCACAAACATTCAGGCCCTCTTTTAAGATGCTCTTACTGATATTTAAAACTCAGTGGTCTTTATCGGATTTAAGGTAGATGTATGAACTGAGTTTTGATGAAAAAAAATTGATTTATATATATTTTACATTATAAAGCACTGAACAAAAAAATGCCTGTCACAATATGAGCTACTTACATTGACTAAATGTGAAGAGAAACCAGCTTGAGCCATCTGCAGACCAAACCCCTTACCCTGACTGCTAATGCCTAAAAAACAATCAGAAAACAGAGGGATAAGACTCTTATCTTTACATTCTCCAAACTGCCTCAGTCAAAATCTAAAGAAACTATCCCATTTACTTACCTTCCAAAGAGAAAATTCTTTCTCCAAGAGCATCTACAATATCCTTCAGTGCAGACTCATCTGTGACTTCGAAGAAATGCTCCTCATCAGGATCACTGGCAATGAACTGGATTTCTTTAAGAAATGCCTCAGGGTTTATTCCACGGCGATTGTAATAACCCAGAACCTGAACACACACAGGCAGTGATGTGAGGTCAGGGGAGGCAGATGAGGCTCATCACTCAAAAATAATATATAATGATAACAGAATTTATATTGCTATTTTTACACTGTGGTTTGGTTTGTACTATAACGGCCATTACAGTAAATGAAAAAATAAAATATTTATTTTTCATTTAGCTTAACCAATTTTGATTTTTTTTTTCTTCAAATTTGCAGAATTTTCGCAATTTCCCATTCAAATGCTCAGAAGCGAAGCTGGTGAGGCAGCAGCGAGCTGAACCTCACCTTGGATTACCAATCTCTCGCTAACTGCACTGGCTGTTATTCGATATGTTATGTTCCTCCTGTCTGTACGTCGCAAATAAAATGGTGAAAAAACATTTACTATATGAACTGCTTATCCATAATTTAGCTTATCTATATAGTGTACAGTGTTTATCGTCACTAACTGTGTGAGTGTAACATGTTCTGTGTGCTGAGGAGCGATCATAAACGGCAGGGAACAGATTCGAGGTGAGGCCGGTGTTCTGTCAGATCAGCATAAGTTGTCAGATAGTCATACGCTTAGCTCAAACATGTATACACAGTCATTACCATATGATTTTATTTAATCAGCAACATAGAATCATGACGTAGATCATCATACACTTTGTTATTAACAGTTATATGGCATCCTGACTTAGCGGTTAAGTAGGTTAAGGGGTTTTACACGGGCGTGTGTTGTAGTTGACTGCAGCTGCAGTCAGACCTGCTTTAAATACACTTTGAAACCACGACAACGCATGTATATTTATCTAGTTATATTATATGATATTATAAACAATTTAATGACTTATTTTCGTCATAACTTGTTACGTATGCTGAACTGCGCATAAAGAAGTCAGACCGTCAGCGGAGTCGTCAGTTCAGCATACGCAACAAGTTATGACGAAAATAAGTCATTAAATTGTTTATAATATGATAACTATATAGATATACATGCGTTGTCGTGGTTTCAAAGTGTATTTAAAGCAGGTCTGGCTGCAGCTGCAGTCAACTACAACACACGCCTGTGTAAAACTCATTAATCTACTTAACCGCTAAGTCAGGATGCCATACAGCTGTTAATAACAAAGTGTATGATGATCTACGTCATGATTCTATGTTGATGATTAAATAAAATCATATGGTAACGACAGCATATACATGTATGAGCTAAGCGTATGACTATCTGACAACGTATGCTGATCTGACAGAACACCGGCAGTTTTCTTGCCTCCTGGCGGCAGCGAGTGCTCATGATCCCAGACATTGGTCTTGTGACTCCACGTCTGCAGAGTAAGAGACAGCGAGCTAGCTATACAGTAAATAAGTCAAATGCAGCGATATATTTATTGTTTTCTCCTCTCCTCCAACGTCAACATGGATGACTACATTTCTACAGTTTTCTAAAGTTGATTTTCAATCGAAGCATGAAATAATAACTAAAGGAAGACCAACACCGGAACTGAAAGGTTTGCTTCAAACTATGAGACAGAAGGGTACTGCTCTTTTCAAATGAAAATAAAAGACAGGCTTTGTGGATGTCCTGCTAGAAACTGCCCTTTCTGCTTTCCTGGCCATCTTTTCTCAACTTATGTCATCAGGTTCTATTTGTGTCAAAAATAAGTAGAAGTCATAAGTGTAGATGTCGTTGGTCTATGTCGTTGCTGTGTGTCTTTGGTAGATGTCTATGGTCTATGTTGCATGTAGATGATGCATATGTAGATGTTGCATATCTATGTTGCATATGTGCTCGCTGCATATGTCTATGTCATGAGGTTCCATTTGTCTTTATTATCAACGTCTTTATTATGCGTTCGCTGCAGCAAACAGAAAGGAGGTGGGACGGACCACTGTCAGTCTCATACCTTATTTGGAAATGGGACCATTGCAATCGGGAAGTGAAGGGGGCGCTATTTCCTATACTTCCGTTTTTATTTTCTTTTGAAATCTGTGATATATTTTCACCTTTAGGAAGGAGTTTCACTCTCAGAATGTATTTGAACTTCTCTCTTTCATTTACTTCAGCGCAGCTCACAGTTTGTAGCAATTCTGTAGCTTTCGGTGTACTTCTAAATCTGCTCCTTAAGTCGCATCTTTTCGGGCTTGTGACTGACTCTAGTGGTGTGGGGGTGGTAGCACAACTAATATAATTACATTACTAAATCAGAATACCACAACGTCTTTATTATTTACTATTAATTCTGGCATTACTAGCAACGTAAAAGATAAATTATCTTATAAAACAACATATTTTTTCATTTTCTTAATGAAAATGACAATACCTTTATACATTATAAATAATTTCTATATATCTCCATCAATTATGGGAGGAACAAAAGACATAAGGACAGTGGCGGAGCCAGAGGGGGGATGGCCGGGGGGGCAGTGCCACACCCCCCGCCATCTGATTGGCCCCCCCAGTGGCCCCTCCTGATGACTGACATGTAACAGCACCAGGTCATTCCTGTACATTATTTGAAATCATTCTAAGCCAACCTAATATCTAAAGAAGAAAAACAATAATAAATATATGAAAAGAAAATGTATAAAACCTTATATAAGTCCATGTGATGACATAAATAAATAGATTTATATCAGGCGCGATACCAGCCTCCTTTATACTTGTACTCATAAAAACAAGCTGATATTGATCTCCTGGATGTTTCAGTTGTGCTGCGCTGTGGTGCAACTCAAAGGCTAAAGCACACTTCATACCTGGTGGTTGTAAAACACCAATAAGTTATTTACTGATCCTCCAAAAAAAAAAAAAAAGAGGGACCGACAATGTTCGTAGTTTGGAGCAGAGGTTGCGCTAGAGATTTTTCGTTGTCCGTCAAAGAAAAAAATAATTTTATTTCCAATTTGTAGTCATCAAAC